AGCTCTAAACCGAATCGAAACGGAATATTTGGCGCACAACGGGATTAAGAAAAATTATCTATCCGATTTATCACCGATAATCCCCATGATCATGGATTGTAAATTCAACAGAAACGCTGTTTAATTAATGGTGAATATACGTGGATCGTGACGGGATTACGCCGCTGGCGTTTGACGTTAAAAGTTGACGCAGAGATATAGCGAGATCGGCGAGAAATAGCACGTCGGTGCGATGGCGTCTGTATGTATGTACTGATAAAAAAAAAATTAATTGAATATGCCGGCGAAGCATGAAATGTGAACCGACACAGTGGACTGCGAATAATTCTGTCCGTTTAATTGAAAAAGAGATCCACATTTAATTTCGAACTAATCAACTGTAGCGCTTCTTTGGTCAGATTGAATGGAAAGGAACGGTGCGAGAGAAAGAGAGACTCGCGGTTGATCAATGTCAAAAATCAATTATACGCGATATCGTGACGTCATTGTGTCAATTGACGTGAGTTGCGTACGCTTCCCGTGAGTATCACGTGAACATCACCGTGTAGAAAAAAATGAAATATTCGCATTGTAAATTCCTGCGAACGACATCAAGGAATGATGACTTGTCTTCGATGTTAGGCGTGTCATCAAGCTAACAACTGAACTAGAATTAATTCTCACACGAACTCGATCAGTTTTTTATGTTATTCGCGACGTTCGTAGCGATGAGATTCGTCGATTTGATCCTCGCAAATATGAATAAGAGTCACGCAAACAAGAGACTGAACCAGCTGCGGAGTTGGCTGTGGACCAACTCGACTACCTTGCTGGTAGTAATGTTGACAACAATAATTTAACAGATTTAAACTTCATATCTGAAGTATCTGAATCGTTTAATAATTTAAAACTCGATAACGGGATTGAAGCAAATATTATTTAGAAATTTACGCGAATTTTAAATCTGGGATAATTTTAAAGTTTTTCGAACATATCGTTTAACGATAAAATTAATCAATTCTATATAAATGTCTCTTTTATTTAAAGATAAAACCTATATTCTTCTTTAATTAAATCAATTTTATTATATGAATAAATATTATTGATTTATTAAAAATAAAGTTTCCAAACGCAATGATGAATTTTAATAAATCGACAAAGAGAGAGAGAGAGAGAGAGAGATTTTGCTACGCTGTAAATTAATCTTTTGATGCAAAATGCCAGCATATTTTTTTTAAAGGAAAAATTTAGTATGCCTTAACTTTAAAAAGTAGTTTCACTCTGTAAATTTTATATAAAATCCAAATTTCAAGTTAATAAATTTTATGGGTAAAAAAATTCACGGACATTAATATAATTATATACTTTTGTTGTTTTATATAATAAAAGAGATAAAAGAGAGCAATGTAATATATCTGCGTTATGTTTCGAGTACATAACGTCATTCTTCTTAAAATAATACGCGAAATCCACTCGCACGTAAGGCGTAATGCACTTAATTCATAAAAATGGAGTAAGTACTGTAAAACTCCGCAACATTAATAGTGCATAATTTCAAGGTATTAGAGATATACCTTGCGCCAGATGCTGTTTCTAATATCGCAGCACCGTGCGGAGAGAAAAATTAATAAAACGGAATTTTTAACGAAGAAAAATATCAGCAGATGAAAACTTTTAATTACTTCTAATGAGAAAAATCTCCACTGTGTCCAGTTTTTATCCTCTGTTTAGGTATTGCGGTAAGTTTAATCGATATGCCCTGCAAAAAGAGAGGGAGAGATAGAGAAGAGCAAGAGAGTGCTTTTATACACATATTTTGGATTTCACGGGGGAATTTATACGACAGTTTACATAATTATATGCGATACAGAGAATTCAATTAAGTGTGTCAATTTAATTAGTTATGCATATCAATATCATTATAATATTATAAGTGCGATAAATATATTTTAATGCATCAGAGGATCATTTTTTAAAATATTACTATTATTATTAATAAACTGCTCAATTATTATAAATTGTAAAATTATCACTAGTTATGAAAATAAGCCATTATATATGTATTATTTTCAAATTTGTAATAAGATGATTAATCATATCACATGTCCAAATTGTGTAATTTACAAAAATAATTATTTAAAAAAAAACTGCTATAAAACAACTAAAAGTAATTTATTCTCCTACGTTTCTGATTTTTAATAATATAATATAAAATACAATAATTTACAACATGTGTTTTCAATTCTTTCTGTCTTGTTTCTTTCTCACTAAATCTTCCGGAATCATATTAGCCCAACCCAGCAATCCATTCAATCTTGCAAAATGCCCCAGCATTTACTACTCTCCGAGCAAGCAGATCGGTAGCCTCGGCGATTTCCTCGCTGGCATCCGGTCCTTCTTCGGAAATCCAGATGGTTCGTCCAGAACATAACTCAGGATTTCACGTACGTCGCGCCGGTAACAGCGCGGCTACACGGTGGACTATAGAGAGAGACGTGCACACACACCTATACGCATACGAAGGAGCGGATGAAAGGGCGTGACGAGGCAGGGGAAGCAAGAAGGGAGAGATATGGTAGTGGTAATGTATGCAATTGGACTGACCGGCGTTGTTGGTCGGTTATGGGTGGTGATGCCAGGGCACGACGGTTCCCTGGTCCAGCGGGGACAGAGAGGAGGGGAGCGGGGGGATCGTCGCAGACAATCCTAGAATCCCCACGTGGCGCGACCGCGGTATTATATGGTGTTTAGTTTGCCATGGCGTACTCGTGATTTAACTTCTCTCTCTCTCTCCCTCTGTCTGTCTGTCTCTCTTTCTCTCTCTTCACTCATGATCGCGTCGAATTAACTTGATCGCGCTGTGTCAAGAGCAGTCGAAACGACATTAATCCGCGTATGGGGTTGGCCGAACGTATAAACGAAAATTACAATCGCACGCAAACGTACATTTTGTTCGCGAGAGCGTTATTTGAATTTCGACATATATATTTTTTTTCCAACATTGTTGCGATAATTGAAACATATTTGAAATACGATTTAAAGCAACGCTTGAAAAAGAATTAAAATAATAGAAAATCTTGTATTGTTCAGTACAAGAGACGCAAATAAAAATTTAAAAATGTGTATTATATTTTTATCTATAATATTAGATTTTATATGAGATATAAAATTTCATGTACTTTTACTTTTTTTTGGAGAAAATATATAAAAAATTTTATACATACTCTCTGGGTATTAAAATGACGAATTCAGATAAAATTTGTACATTTTAAAACAAATCCTTAAAAAATGCGCGAATAAATCATATTTTAACTATGCTAACAAAAAATTAGCAGCTTAATTCAAAAATTGCAATACAGATAAACCATGTATAAATAGAATCGAATGATAGAAGGAACTTTATTGATGCTAACATTAATCAAAATTCAGATTCTCGGTGAAGTCTGTGAGCAATCTTAAAGTTTTAAAAGAAAAGCGTATGTATAATGAAACAATTGTAAAAGCAAAGGGACATTCGAAAATAATCCGGATTATCGAATCAAATAACTGTAATAAACATCTTGTTCCTTTTCTTCTGTTACTCTTCTCCAAGTACCGTTCGTCAAGCGATCCGATTGTACGTCAGCCTAGGAAACCGCTTAAATTTTCAAAGACTAGTAATTATATAGGGAACTGAGGCCATTTTCGAAACTCCATGCATTCGCATCCCGAACGGATGCACTCGGATAAACCGCGTAGTAGCTTAAGGTTGCGCAATAATCAAAGTGATGCGAAGTTTGTTTAATCTAGCGATATGTAAAATTCATTTAAAACAATATGTTTTGAGCATTATAAGTACAAAGTCGAAAACTGTTATTTTTCTTTTACCGTTTAACATTCAACTTGGCATATTTTGCAAGCTGTGCTTTAAGTTTTTGATACGTTTTCTTTCCCTTTTTTTTACCGAAAAGAGACCAGTCTCTCTCAGTTTTTAATAGTATGTAGTAATACTTGTTTTGAAAAACATAGAGAGATAGAAAAAACATGCTTAGTGTAAAAGATCAAAAGTAACAGTGTTGGCTAACTAGATTTATAATAAATCTTCTACAACATAATGTCAAGCTTAATAAAGATTTTACATATTTTGCTTAATTTTGGATGTTAAAAGAATTTATACATAGTTTATCTGTATTGCAATTTTTGAATTAAGCTGCTAATTTTTTGTTAGCATAGTTAAAATAGGATTTATTTACGCATTTTTGTAGCATTTGTTTTAAAATGTACAAATTTCATCTAAATTCGTCATTTTAAAACCCAGAGAATATGTATAAAATTTATGGAATGAGAAAGTTCCATTTCGTATATACACAAATTAGACAAATTTTTATTTGTAATGTACACAAATTACACAAAAATTTTTTAAGTATTATAACTGATGTTAACTGGAGGTACATGCAACTTTCAATATTTCTTATTAAATATATCAAATTGTGGTAATTAAAATGAATGACTTATTTCATATAAAGAAAGATAAAATTTTAACGTTACTGGAAAAAAATAATCACGCAATATAAATACGAAAATCTTAGTAAAATCTAAATAACAAAAGTCTAAATTACCAAAAAAATCTTACCAAAATCTAAACAATTAATTTGCAATTTATTCAAAAATATAGAAAATTATTATTACGAGAAAGCACTCCTTCATTAACATTAATATTAGAGTTCGCAGTCTATCGTTGAGTTTATTACGGGAGCATCAGACATGCAAAGTCAGAAATTACCTGCTCGCCTAAGGCTGAGCCGAGAACAATTATATCGCACTGCTGTAATCTTCATTTACATATGTTTGCGAGGAGAGTTGCGCCACCAGCATAGGAATTATTACGTCATCAAATACAAAGCCGTGATTTTAATTAAATAATAAAGTATAAACCCATCTGAATCAACGTTTCTTTTATCGCACAATCACAAATTTCTTTAACGTAACGCATCTACTACTTGAAATTATTTTAATCTGTCAAAAATTTAAAGCGCGCTTACCTTTTGATAGTTGAGGGCAAGCAATAGATACTTCTTATCGGCGGATAATTGGTGATCGAAGCTCGACAACAGAGCCTGTAAAAATAAAAAGTAACAAATTATTATTAATCAAAAACATTGCTAAGCATTACACGTACATATCTCGACTTAATAAGTTTCTAGTTCCTCAGTAAATACATAATATTTCAAAAAACGAAACGAGAAAAAATATAGTGGACATAGAGATAATTTGTATCACATAGTTCTATAAATGTAATGATTTTATCAATTGCTTTGTTGGATTTGATTTTACCAATTGCTTTGTTGGATTTGACGCCGTTTGGAAGCACACAAAACGATTATCCTCCGAATTAGTCTGCATTTGATGCTTAATTAATTTGCCGTGTAAATTAACGCTATCCCATCATAAAGGATCAAAATGCAAACATGACCGCTGCTAGTTAATTACGACACCGGAAGTTAGTTACTATCTGTACAAACAGATGATGTCGCGTGGTGTAAGAACGAGAAGATGCATTAATTAATCCGAAAAAAAAAATCATAAGGAGAGAAGTCGGAAAATCTCGCGTGTCGAGTCGCAATGATTGATCGTCAAATACGAAATCGTGCTCGCCGAGATAGAGCTTGTCGCTTATTACGCTTATAAAGCGAGTCGTTAGCGGGACGAGCATGGGACGATCAAAAGAGGCATTATTATGCCGCGACGATCCGGAACGGTTCGTCGAAATCACGACGAGTAAATTACGATCACGCGCGGGACACGAGCCGCACGAATTGTTGAGTGAGCTACGACGACGACCCTCCTCCGATAGGATGACTATCGTTAAGCGGAGGTCGCGAGATCCGAGAACGAAACTGTCGTTTCCCGACAGTTGGTCGCTCGGTGGACCAACCGACTGGATGATGGTTCCAATTTAACCGTATCATCGCGATCATAATACGGTAATAACTGCGGTGGAGTCCACGCAAATGTTATTATTACTTTAATAGGACAAGTTTATTCGTATGATAAATGCGGTTGACGAGGTCACGTTCCTATGTAATAAAATTATTTCGCGTTTCGATTCCCGCTGTTGAGTTGCGGTGCATTTTCTGTTGATCCGAAAGATCGAATTTATATGCAAATTGAGGAAAATTAAGTTTCAGATCTTCAAAAGCGCCGTAAATTAATTTTGCATGGAAAAAATCTACTGATTTTTCAAAGTTGGGTATTATACGTTGAATGAAAGAAGAAGAGATTTTTTTAAATATATCTTTAAATACGCAAAGGTCAATATGTCACAAATTATTAATCTGACTATATTAATAAATAAAAAAAGAAAATTATTCAAACATTTGTTTACCAAAACCTTATATTAAATTTTTGTAATGAATTACATTGAAATGTAGCAGTAGAGAAATATATTTATAAAGAAGAAATTTTTAGCTAACATAATTTATTATCTTTGTTACATACGCATGTTTCTCGTAGATTAATAAATTTCTTAGGAGGAAAAGAAGAAAAAAAATCAGATACGATATTGGCATGAAAACAAAGTGGCAGTGACAGTTTTATTATGTTATATAATAAAGTTATGATTCTATTAGCAACTTTCCTAACTCATTTTAAAGTGTTCAACTGGGACAGCTTGACACGTATTAATAAACTTGTTACTTCTCAACATGCAAAATTTTTATACGGAACATACAGAAATAAAATGCAAATTTAAACTATCACGCAGTTCAAAATCTACCCTTTCGTGAAAAAAATACGTATATACGCAGATAGAATTTTATTCTTATAATATTTTGGATAATCACATCGTGAAAGAATTCATTTTAAAGAGATAAACATACGTTCGTACGAAATTCGATTTAAAAAAATTAATTCGATGTAAAAAGATTAATTTCTAACATTTCTAATTAATTTATCTAACCTTAATTTAAATAATTAATTTAAGTAACACTCGATATATCGGGTTAATAACAAAAAAAAACGTAAATTTTCTCGAGAGCGGTCTTGGAAAGAATATATTTGGACAATTGTATTTGATGAGCCTATTCTCTCTCGGTGTATTCCAAGCGAATGCTCTATATACGCGAGCAAAGCTGCACGGGTCATAAACTCCCTAATAGCTTTCAGACTAATAGCGAGAATGCCCCGATAAGGCCGTTCGTCTAAACTACAAGGAGTTGGACTACGCGCTTGAAGCACTTCTGAAGATTTCGAGCATTGCAGCGAACAGAAGACAAGACGAGAAGGAGAGAAAGGGATGATGAAAAAATAAAATTTCAGAGCATCAAGCCTTTGCAGTTTCGCTTTATTGCCTCTCTCACGATCTATAGTTAATTGAAAAATCGGTTTGTTTCGCTTACTGATTACGGTGTGTAATGAGAGGAAAGAGGAATTAACCAAAGAGAAATCGCCTCGCCGTTTATGAAATTTGAGAGAAAAATGTAGGGGGAATCGCGTACAAGCTTCAATAAATTTATTATATATTATATTTATAAATAATAAATTTATTATAATAAATTTATTATATTTTATATTTATTATATATATTTTTTATACATGTCAATAAAAAAAAATATTGAATAATCATATTAGTTTCTATCAGTTTTTGTATTTTTATAATAATTTTTATAAAATTATTATAAAAATAAACATCAATAATTTTTTTATTGACATATATAATAAATTATATCCTCCATATCGCGAGATACTTGATGAGTATAGTGAGATAACGCGAGTTCGTATAGTGCGATAAAAAACTGCGACACACCTTGCATATGAATCATCCCCATGCAACGTGATAAATAAATTTCGAATTTAATAGAAACATTTTTTACGTTTCTTTGACAATGTATTTCGAAAATTTTGGACAACTCATAAATATTGTATGATAACGAATCCCTATCGAATAACGTGAAATAACGTATTCATCCTGCCATAGATGTTTACTATTTACGCATATGCAAAAATATTGTCGTAAAATCATGAATCATTAAAAGAAAAACGCGATAATGTTTAATGAAGGAGTAGAAAATCCGAGACAAAAATATATAGTTGCGATATATCAAAAAAAAAAAAAGCGCGACAAATAATTTTACTTTACGATACGTAAATTCCACGAATAAATCATTCAAAGCTCGCGTGTCCCGAAGACACCTCGTAATGTTGAATCTCGAGGAGATGGGTATCGTACTCTACGCAGATGTCGTAATGAATCATTTTACAAGCTGCTACCCACCTATCCACCTATGCACGTGAACGAGGATCGTCGACGATAGATTGCGGGCGTCGGAACGTGAAAGATAACGAGCAATTACCGTCACCGGCCGCGATCTCTTCCGCGGGAATAACGATGGGACGTTGCCCCGATGCACGCGTTACAATCCCCCTCTCCCTCCCCCCCCCGGCGGCATCGAGAAATAATTTTCCCCTTTCCGATTTCGCATAACCGCTGCTTTCGCATTCGATCCGCACACGCGGCTTCCGCTTTCATACGTGCGGATAATGGGAAGAGCCGGGGCGGTTTTAATTGATCGCGGACGCGGATATGAATTAGTGGAACGGGAAGAGAGAAAATCTCACGGGAGAAAGAAAGATAGGGCCGGGGACACGTACGAGAGAGATATTATGTTTTCGTTGGTGTATTTCGGTCGTTATCTGCGCGATTTCGGAAGTGAAGCGAGCCATTGCGACGGCGGGTTCCAACGATTAATTCGGCGCCCACCCCGGCTATTCGTTTCGCGCGGTTTCTATTTAATCGCACGCATGTTAATTGTTGCGCATACATTAGCGCACGTGCGGTAATATTCTTTCGCGAAATGAAATATAACGTAATATTAATTGTTCTAATAACACAGTAACATATACATTTATATATATATTATTGTTTTAAAACATATAATTGATACACGTATTGTTAATACTGTGTATTGTTTTATTTGTTTAAATGTCATCAAATTACTGCACTTTAACAATTTGCGCTTTTATACTTTAATATAAAGCATTTAGCATATAAGCCTGATTTTTAATTATTTCCCATATGATTAATGATATTTGTACATGTATATTGTCATGAAGAATATATGAAATAATAATTAAAAGTCAAGCTTATATACTAAATTTATATTAAAGAGCAAAATCGATTGTGCATTAATTAGGTTGGTAATGAAACAAATAAAATAATATGTATAAATAAATGGAATAATATATTAATATTCTTGTATATTCACATATATTATTATATTAATATTATTAATAAGACTAATAAGAGATAAATTGATTTTAAATTACAAATGGAAAATTTTTCGAATATCAAACTTTGAGTAATCCCCTTTTATACTTTTATATTATTTACACATGTAACGTGCAGAAATCTGAGAAAACTTACGGGATTGTTGGAGTCCAACAAGGTCTTGGATGTGTCCGAACTGACATTGTAGATCAGCAAATTACCTATCTCGTCCCGGTAGAGGATCTCATCTCCTGCAACAAAAAAGGATACGTTTATACGTATATACGGAAATTAAATTTTAAATTAATTCATTCGTACGACGAGAAATGGGGTATTCTTATCTTATCTACATTTCGTACTGTTTCGTATATCGTGCGTGATTCGCAATTCCACCTATAATACATTTAAAATTTCTTTCATTCGCACAAAATTTCATTTTCTCCGCACACACGTAGATTAGAAGTAAATTTACTGATTTTGCATCTCGGTACATTAGAAAAATCAATTTTGTTCTAAATTACGTTATGCAAGATTTGTCCTAAGATCTGGCTTAAAGAGAATAATACATTTCAAAAAGCAACACGTCGTACCATAAAAATGCCATATATGAGTTTGAGATGTATTAAAAATATCGATACTTTATAGAAATATAAAAATATAAAAATGAAATATAAAAATGAATAGAAATAATATATTATTCTAAATGTTTTTTTTAATATCTTTGCCCATCTAATTCCAAAAGTTCCTTAAATATTTTTATAAATTTTTTCTCTTTAATCAATTTTCACAAACCACACTCATTCTTTCCTCCATTAAAGACTCCATTAAAAAAAATGAACTTTTCCAGTAATGATGATTGATTAATTGTCTCCACATCATCCGGACGCTTTTGTGCGCCTTCCTGCGAAAAAAGCCGAGCATGTAGTTTTCTTCAAGCGCAATGGAAGTAGGAGGAAGTTGAAAGGAAGATAAAAGGAAAAAAAAGGGAAAGAAAAAAGGATACAGGGATGAAAAAGAAAACAGGGTAAAAAAAAGATACGAGTAAATTTCAAGAGATACGCCGTCTTTCTCAAAAATCGGTTTTCGCGAGTCGACGCTTCGTCGTTTCATCAATCTTGGCGAGATCGGCGCCGTAAAAATCCTCGGAATAACAAGCGTTGAGTTAGGTGGCGATAGACCGTGAGTAAGAAATATTTTTATCGTTATCGAAGAGAATAAAGCACGAGAGGGGAAGGAGCGACTACGAGAACTCCTGCAGCGCGAACACCCGCCGGAAAAACATTAGTTCGACAGGTCTTTTTTTTATTGGCAACGTGAAATGCAAAATGTGCATGGTGAATGTATGACAGCGACAGTAGAGAATAATATCTCGCGCGAAAAATTTCTTTTAATTGTCTTCGAGCGCTCGATCAATAATGCAGCAAATTATACGAGACCGATGGCGCTTATTTAGCGATGTTTAAAGAGAGTATGTCTATTTAAATTAGAGAAGAAAGATGTAAAAAGATCGGAAAATGTTATAATATCATAATATTTAATCCAATTAATTTTTCACACATATATATTATACACCTAATGGAACTTAATGAAAAAGAATGTTTCGCTAAAAAAATATGCAATTATTTTAAACATGATAAATAATAAGTACATAGTTAATAATATCACGTTCTCTTGCTTTCTTCTTTCCTCGCAATCTTATCTGTTTAAAAAAATTGCAATTATTTTATTTACCTATAAAATCAATATGAATAAATTAAACTCAAGGTTGCAAACATGCATTATTTCTATGATTTTCATAAAAATTATTGTATGTTCTCCTTTAAAATATACGTAAAAAAGCGCAACCGCACGTGAAAAACAGGATTTCTCGAAATATCAAACAGACGCACCCCTTTAATGTGAGAGGTCTGCGTGTTTGCGGTATAAACCTCGTTCCGCACGGCTGCTGGTTGTTCGCCCGACCGACAAACAAGGGGTGGCATTGTATTGCAGAACGAATCGCACCGTCCGACGCGACACGGTGAGCTATTTCAACGTACGGATCGTTAGATCGGAGATTTTTCGACGGTAGGAATTTTCTGCCGGGAACTTTGATCCTTTCGAAAAGGTGGCTCGCTGGCCTGCATTTTCACCGACCCTGCTTCGTTTCGATAGAATTTGCATTTCCATACGACAAACAAATGGAACGAACGAAAAGGTTACACAGCGAGCCCCGACGTTATTATTTTTTTTTTTTACTTTCTCAAAAGTCCGAAGTTGGTCTTTAGAAAACTTTAAATGAAAAACCTTTCTCTTCATTCTCGCATAATTTCATTCACTTTAATGTCTTATTTAATTTAGTTTCGTGCAAAAACGATGAAGGATTGATTTAAAGCGCCTCAGAACAAGCACATGTTCGGCAATATGACGCTATAAAAGTTAAAATACGATATCATGTATCGGAGGAAGATTAATTAACAAAGTTTCCCGAAGCAATACGGATGCGCGTTTGAAGCTCGTTACCTCTTTCACGTCAGTAGAAGTTCTCATTACTTTCGTAATTATGAGACATGTATTTTATATTTATATATTAACTTTCAAATTGATACCTAATCGTATTTATTACCTTAAAGTGTCATATTATCGTTGCAAGTTATAATACATAACGACAAGCAAATACAAAGCCAGCTAAAGTTTTGAAAAATTTATTTGAATAATTTCAAACGATCGTCTCCTCCGATTTGCTTTTATGTTATTCACGAAAATATAAGAATTAATATAAGAATTAACGTTCAGAGAAACAAAGTTATTACTGCAGGAAGAAACTCATATTATATAATTAAGAGAAGAATATTTATGTAACAGAAACATTATAACAAATTATATGACATAATTGCAATGCGAAATAAATTAATTTCGTAATGTAGTTTCCATATCAGTTTCTACAGTAATTATTCTTAAAAAAATATCCTTCTCTTTGTTATTCAATTATTTCAGATTAATTAATTAATTCATATATGATATAGAAATAATACAGAAAGGAAATAATAAATCATTTCAAAGCTAAATTAAATGTCAACTTGACTCCAATTAATTAAAACCAAAAAATTAATATTTTACAGTTACATTGAATTATAAATCTAACAAATTGAAATAAATCCTCAATTTATATATTGCGAAATCTTGTCAGAATATTAAAAGAGAAATATAATTTTAACTTTAACGATTTATGTTATGGATAGTGTTTCTCATACACATAGAAATATGTATTTCTGTGATTGACGAAATAATATATATATATATATATATATATATATATATATATATATATAGAAATCTTAGTAATATTATTATATATATAAGATCCATGCATTTTTTTATTTTCATGCTTTTTTCTATTTATTTTGGTTTTAATATCAATGATTCTCTTTCATGAATTTTAATATGATCGAAACATTGATGGATTTTATGCATAGTTAAATTCGACTGTTTGAGATAATTATGTAATTAAATATTTTACACTGCTATTTTCAATTTCTTGTATACAACACTCGACTACATAGAACCGTTTTGTTGTTCAATTAATTTAATAATGGCGAATTAATTAAGCGTTAAACCGTAAATATACGGAGGAAATTATAAAGTCGCGTATTAAAATTATAAATAAATTCTACTTTGTGTCACACTCAAAATACGCGGCAAATTTTCACAAATAGTTTCGCACGAGCATAATTGTACTGAAAATTTTCGCACATAATTACAGTATATCGATATTTTCCACTTTAATGAACAAAATAGTAACTTTGTACTCTGTTCTACATTTATGAACCAGATGTGCTTAATCAGAATTTGCATTGTATAATTCCTATAATTTATCAAGCTACTGATCAACGTAATAAAAGAAATTAAAAGCAATACGTTTAAAAACAATTAAATGTGTCAACCATTAGAATTATTATTACTACTTATCATTACTTTTATTAATATTTCATAGCTAATAGATAAATGCATAATTAAATGTTTATAAATTATATATTAATCATGGTACTTTGTAATAAATGTATTTCAAATTAATGAATTAATTTAATTCAAATTAAAAGGAATTAGGTGTCAAAAATGGAAATAATAATATTCTAGATTCCTTATAAATATGAGATTCCTTATAAATATGATATTCCTTATAAATTATCTTCAATGTTGTGCTTGTGTGTTATTTGTCTTCTAAATGAGACAGCGGGGCAGAAATGATTTACATCGAGATGAGAATTATACACCGAGGGGGTTTGACCGATTTCTCCTGGCAGATAACGCGTTAACGAGACACGCCATCGTATCTTACACGAGGGACACAACAAGAAGACATCCGCCTTTACGGAGCGATGTAGTTTGGATAGGTCTGGAACAGACCCAACGTCTTCTGGGATTTCACGGCGACGGAACAACGGACGGGGGGGGGGGGGGAAGAGCCGCGACGTTTACGATTTACCGCTACCGACCGCGTATATCTCGCAAGAAATAGGCCGAAACGAAAAATGCAAACGAAGCGTGAATTTTATAGGTCGGCTTCCGGGGCTCGCAGGAAGCGCTATCAGGCGAAAATATCGCGCGTCAGAGTGGTTTAAGCTCAAACACTTTTTTAATGGAGCCCACATCTCTCTGTACCGGTTGTAAACGATGCCGTTTGAAACACGTGCGCAATAAGCTTTTAACGAGATTTATATATTTCATGTAAATAATTTACCGAGACTTAATTCGCGTCACTGATTTGATCTCCATTTGAATCACAAATCGACATATATTATCAATGAAATATAAACTGCAATCGTTGACTATTACATGCAAAAATTTAAATGAGAAATTCAAAATTTATTTGCAAGTTAATATAGCGATTAAATTATTAATTTACTAATATAGGTTATTTAAATCGAAAACGAGAATCATTTATTTTAACATTTATTTATCGATATTAATTATATTTGAGATAATTTTTTTATAATGTCAAATCCCTCGTTGACATTATACGTTTCAAAGTATTTCATCTATATTCATTTATAAAGCTAAGAAGCAATATTGCGAGGCGTGAAACATTTTTTAATCGAATTCATCAGCAGTTTCTACAAATGTAAATTAATGTACGCGAACGGTTTAGAACTCATCCTCGAGCAGGCGGTAAATCATCGTTAAAATCGGGCGTAAATAAATTTGTGCAAAACAATGCTCATTTAATTAATATCCGGGGGCGAATTATTTCTTTTAATGTCGCATCATTACG